ACACTAACTGCTCGGCTGTGCACACCCGCCAGGCCCTCTGTTGCAAGATGTCCGTGGAATACGATAAGTTCATCGAGTCAGGCCGCAAGTACGCCGGGCTGTGTGCTGCCAGATGCTCTCGGCTGCCCACTCCCTTAGGCCACAGGGTGCCCTAGACCATAGGCGTGACCTTTGGCCATGGGGGTGCCCAGGGTTCAGGGGATGACTCTAAGCCTGGGATGCTGGGGTGACCCTGGGCTGAGAGGATGACTGTGCCATGGGGTGTCCTGGACCACAGGGGTGCCCTGGTCCAGGGGGAAGGGGGTGTCCTGGGTCAGCGATGGACTGGGTGCTCACTGGCCAGCCCCTGCGGACCAGGTGGTTCTGCCACGTGGATGATGACAACTACGTGAACCCTGGCGCGCTGCTGCGGCTGCTGGCCTCCTTCTCACCCAGCCGGGACATCTACCTGGGGCGGCCCAGCCTGGACCACCCCATTGAGGCCACCGAGAGGGCCCCAGGGGGCGGCACTGTGAGTCACTGGGCCAGGGCTGGCACCCTTCACATCACGGTGGGGCGGCCTAAGGAGTCTGTCCCTCTATGAGACCCCTCTAGGCACCACTGACCCTGGCTTCCCCTCTACAGGTGACCACAGTCAAGTTCTGGTTTGCCACGGGTGGGGCCGGCTTCTGCCTGAGCAGAGGCCTCGCTCTCAAGATGAGCCCGTGGGCAAGGTAAGTGGGGTGTGGCGCCTCGGATGGGCTGTGAGGGGCTGGGGTGGGCACCGCTGACAAGACCCCTCTCCAGCCTGGGCAGCTTCATGAGCACGGCCGAGAGGGTGCGGCTGCCGGATGACTGCACCGTGGGCTATATCGTCGAGGGGCTGCTGGGCGCGCGCCTGTTGCACTGCCCGCTCTTCCACTCGCACCTGGAGAACCTGCCACGGTTGCCGCCCGACTCTGTGCTCCAGCAGGTAGGCTGCCTTCCAGGCCCAGGCTTTCCGGTTCGGTGGGTCGGGCCCCTGCCTCTCAACCACGTCCCTCTACCCCGCCCCTCTCAGCCACGCCCCTCCTATTCCACTGTGTGTCCCTGAGCATTTCAACCATACCCTTCCATTCCGCCACAGCCCCTGCTCTGCCTCTCCAGCTGCTCCTCTGCGACGCCACGCCCCCTGTTCCACCACGCCCCCTTGGCTCTCCTACACCGATCGCCCCGCCCCGTCTGCTCCGCCCACCTCGCCTCTCCACGCCCCTTCAGCCACGCCCCTTCAGCCACGCCCCCACCACGCCAGCCGTTCTGCTGAGCTTCCCTCCTCTCCCTCTCTTCCATCTGGTTCCACTTTCTCTGGTGCTAGCCACCTCTCCCTTCCACACTGTCCCCGAAGCCTGGCACAAGTGTCCCTCTCCAGCAGGGTACCTGGGAGTCCAACAGCTACCTCTCCTAGCTGGGCTCTGGAGGACCTCACCCTGCACCCCTGCCCTACCTCAGGTCACGTTGAGTTACGGGGGTCCGGAGAACCCTAATAACGTGGTGAATGTGGCTGGAGGCTTCAGTCCGCAGCAGGACCCCACGCGGTGAGCAGGTGTCAGGGTACAGGCCAGCAGGGGCTCAGGCCAGCCCCTCTCCACAACTGACCCCCACTTCTTGACTTCCCAGGTTCCAGTCCCTGCACTGTCTCCTCTACCCAGACACAGCCTGGTGCCCCCCACAGAAGCAGGGCTGAACACCACCTGACGGGGCTCTGCCTGCCCAGTGACAGGCCGGTGATGCCCCAGCCAGTGGGCCAGAGCTCAGTGGCTGGGCTGGCAAGAAGGCATCACGCATGCCTAGAGTGAGCAGAGTCACCCCAGGAGTGAGTAGCATCACCGGCCCTGGGGTGCCCCAGCCCATCCTGCCACCAGGGGGCTCAGCACCCGGCTCATCTGTGGTTCAGGCATCCGCAGCCTGCAGGGATGGTAGCAGGCTGAGACCTGGGGCATGCTCCTCACATGGCTCCCACCCCTGTCCCATCTTCCCAGCCTCAGGGAGACCACCTGCCCTGTGACTGGCTGCTGCAGGACAGGGGGCCGCCCACTCCACCCCTGCTGCCTAGATTACTGCCCAATAAACTCTCTTTGGGCTCAGCAGTGACTGGTTCCCTGACTCCACTACACCCCCACCCCAGCTATGGCAGGAGTGCAGGGGCTGAGAGCTGAGGGGCTCAGGTGTCCATGGTACAGTCAGCTCTGGCCCAGCCTGGGGTAGGTGTGTGCCCCAAAACCTTCAGTCCAGACCCCTCTGTCCATTTCCTGCCTCCTCAGCTGACCTCAGCCTCCCCAGGCAGGAAGGCCCAGTCCAGGATCAAAAGCCCAGCAGTCTGGGGCTGGTGAGGGGGTGGGACTGAGGAAATGCCACACCACATGGGGGGTGAGTTTCTAACCAGGATGAACACCGAGACATGTGTGGACATGCAGCCCGCTGCCCTCATCAACGGATCGTGGAGGGGCGTGGTGGCCGTCCGGGGGCTGAGCCAGTCTGAGGCAGGGTGCTGCCCTCTTGTTGGGGGGTCACAGCTGTGGCCACTGGTTGTCAGGCCCCTGTAGCAGTGGACATCTGCTCCCTTGGGTGCCTAGGATCCTGTACCTCACAGTGGAGGGAGACTGAGAGGCTCAGCATGACCCCTCTGCTTCAAGCAGCAGGGAGTGAAAAATCCCAAATGGGGTGGGGTGGGGGGAGCGGTGGACACGACATGCAGCAAGATCCCAAAGAAAGCACAGGGTTTCTCAGAAAGTGCCGCTCAAAGCTCAGAGAGACGCACACCCTGTCAGCCTGGGCTTCTGCACCCATGCACCTAGCCAGTGGGTCTCCCAAGGGTACTCTCAGACAGACAAGCAGCCTCTCATAGTAGACCCACGGTGCCGCAAAGGGCTATGGGGAGTCCCTCCGGCAGGGGTGAAGTCTGGGAAATAATGGTGAGTGGTGATTCACATAAAAGGATTGCTGGCTGCCACGTGAACAAAAGCACACCTGTGTGTATGGGCCAAGAGGAAGGCAAATCTTGCCAGTTGTAACAAAGGCCAGAGGGGCAATGGGAGGCACCGGGGCAAGGACCCAGCAGGGCACAGCAGTGGAGACTGCTGAGTTCAGGCAATCGAGAAGCCTTCAAAGGACCCAGAATATTGGGGATCACGTGAACGAGCAGCCGCAAAAGTAGATAGGACCCAAGCCCCTTTGCTGTGGGAGGACATGCAGGCCTAGTCAGCTGGCTGGGACCAGGCAGAGCCAATTCCAGGGGGCCCCTGTGACAAAGGGGCTAGTGTTTTAACACGGTCACATTTTAAAAACCAATGCAGATAGACCCACTGGGACTGGGTCTGTGCACTGTGGCTGCTCTTGTCTCCTGGAGCCCTGCCCACCTGTGACAAGGCAGGGTCCCAGGCAGATGTGGCTGACTGGTGGGGGGCACTCAACTTTCTAACTTGTGTTCTGTTAGGTGCCAGAAGGCAGGTCCAGGGACAGGAACCGCTCCACTTGCTTCAGGGTGTGGTTGGAGGTGGGCCCCTTAAGTCCTCCTCCCATCCCCCACCCCCTGTCAGTGCCTGGCTCGGGGCAGGAACCCTGCACACAGGGCCTGTGGTCCCACCTCACACTGATCCAAGCCCTGCAGGCAGCTGCTGAGAATGTGTGTGAAACTAGGAGCCCTGGGGGGAGGTGCGGTCCAGCTTCAGACCTGGGCAGGCGTGGACCACCAGCCGCTCCACTCCTAGGAAGGTGACCCTTGGGGGCAGCTGGACCCCATGGCATGGACTGTGTCTGTGACCACCACTACCATGGCTGTCTGAAGAGACCCAGTTCTCTGCTAGCATCGCCTGCCCGTCCCTTCCCACTTCCCCCCACCACCCCCCCGGACTGGGGCCCGGTGGCAGCAGGCCCTCGGCCATTGGAGGGGAGGACACACTGGGGCAGCTGGCAGGGCCTCATCAGGAATCGGGGCCCATGCTCAGGTCCTGGCCGGCCTCCATGGAGGAGCTCCCTCACCCCCCACCCCAAGGCAGGCCAACCTCTGCTGTGTGGGGGGAGGAGCCTAGAGCCCTCCCAGGCAAGGTGGGCAGGAGGGGCAGCCCTCTCTGAGGAAGCACGCCCGGCCCAGCTGGTCTGATCCCAGCATCACCTTTCAGTTCCCAGGAGCTTCAGTTCAGGTCTCTCGGCCCCTCCCTGCCCCACCTCAGTCCACCTGCGCCTGTGGCCTGACCTCAGAGGGAAGGGGCCTCGAGGACCTGGAGCCTCCACAAGGTGGGAACCCTTGCCCCTGGCTTGGGTAGGGGACCTCCTACTATGTCCATAGCCCTTGTCGTGAGAGGAGTTTGGACACTCCCCACCAGCTTTGCAAACTCAGCAGCGTGGACTAGGACAGATGTATGGGTGGTGGATGCAGTACAGTCTGTGTCCATACATACACATGTGCCTGTGTAAACACACGTGTCGGTGTGCATGTGTGTCTGTGGGCCTATGTATACATGTCTGTGTTCCTCTGTAACAGGTACCCTGTGTCCTGTGTGTGTCTGTGCACACTGTGTGTCCTTGTCCCACTTGGTGCCTGTGTGCTACATCCCCACGTGTTCCTGGGTAAGCACACATGTCCCCTGTGTGCCTGACATGCCTGTGTCCTTGCAGGGGTACATACAGGAGATGGGAGCCCTGCCGTCCAGTGTGGAGAGCAGGCAGTACCATCCGCCCGGAGTGCCAAGCTGGCCACTAGGAGACCCCCGGTGTCACCCCCCCCACCCCATGTGCTGGCATTCCTGTGAGGCACTGGATCCAGTTTCAGGGACCACACCCTGACCCTCAGGGCAGAAAGCAGATCCAGGGTCTCCTCCCAATGGACAAAGAGAGGTAACATGAGAAAGAGGCCCAGCGGCTTAGCGGGGCCTGTGTCTCTGTGACCCGGGCCTCACTGAGGCCTGCTTTTCCCACACATACCCACGTGCGGACACACACACACACACACACACACACAGGCCAAGTCTAAGCCATCAGCCAGCTGCCAATCCTCACCCCCATCCCGTGGTGTGCAGGATGCAGGATGCACACCAGAGCTCACAGCAGAGTGTGTATGCATGGGGCCCGGTCTGGCCCTCCCGAGGCAAGCCCCAAACAAGACTTAGCCTGAATCCAGGGTCTAGAGAGGGGGGTGGGTGTAGGAGGAAGGCGAGGAGCCCACCATGGCCAAGGGGCCCTGCGACAGGTAGGAGTGGCCCCAGGAGCCTGTGCAACACCCCCCACCCCTCTGCATCTGGGCTACAGGAGACGCCAGAGGGGCTGGGGCTGGGCCCAGTGTCAGTTTCTCAGTCTGGTACCCTGCCTTCTGGTGCCCACCCACCATGCCTGGTCCCCGTCTGACTTCCTGAGGAGGGCGTAGGGGCCCTCCTGACCACTTGTACTTCCTGGCCAGGCCTGGAAGAGCTGTGCCTATCTAAGAGCGGGGCGTGTGGACTGAGGTGCAGCCATCAGGGTATGTGGAGAGGGCAAGGGGGCCTGCAGGCTAAGTAGCAACTCCAGGAAGGCCATGGACCAGGGAGCAGGGCCTCCCAGGAGCCAGGCTTGGCCAGGAAGACTAGAGCTGGTCCGATAGGGTCTCTGACCAGTGGAGGGTTGAGGCTCCTGACCTGAGGGAAAACGCATTGTGCTCTGTGGAAGGACAGGCAGAGGGTAGCCTAAGCGCAGTGGGCCCCTCTCCCAACCCAGACATCGCATCCTTGCCTCCAACCTGATGGCCCCTGGGTGGGCACAGGCCCTTCCCGCCCACCCCCACCCCCAACATTGCCCAGCTAGGCCACTAGGGGCCCTTGAGCATTGGCTCCCAGGAGCCTTTCTCCTGGGGGCCCTCTGTGTCCCTTCTGCCCTGCCCGATGTCCCCAAGTGCTGATGGGAGAAAACAGACCGGCCTGCCTCTGGGTTCCAAGGCTAGGTGGTCAGCCCGGCGGGGAAAGGTGGGGGGGCGGGGTGCTGGGGGCGCACGGCCAGATGTTTTACTCGAGGCAAAGCAAGCCATGCCAGCCGCGAACGCGCCGTCTCACGTAACACCGGACCACCAAGCTGCTTTCTCTAATAATCCGCCGAGTCATGACAGACCCCCCTAAATCCATTCCCGACCCACCTGTGGTCGCCTCTGGGGGTTTGAAAACCTCCGCCCCACGGACACGCCTCCAACCTGCGGCCAATCGCACTCGCAGAGGTGACCTGTTTGTATGGCCGCGCCCCCGGGGCGCCCGGCGCTTTCCGATTGGCGGTTCCGCTTCTCCTTGAGTGTCGTCGGGGCCACGCCCCCACTCCTTCCGGCCAATCACACGCGCAGAAAGGACGTATATTCGCGTAGACCCGCCTTCATTCCGCACGTCGCTTTACGATTGGTCTCCGCTCTCTGGGTGGCTGACC